GGGCGCCTCCCCTTCCCGCGGCCACGATCGGAGCCTGGCGGCCCGGGGTGGCCGCGCCGCGGGGGGGCGCAGCATCTTCGCCCCGGGCCGGGCGACACGAGCGGCCCCGAGAGCCCGCGCTGGAACCAGGTAGGCACCGCCCGAGGGTCGCGCGGGCAACAAAGGACGCCGAGGCGCGGGGAGCGCGGCGAGGTTGGGGCGTAGGCCGAGGCGGGAGGATCTCGGCCCGAGTGGGCGTGGGCGGGGACCGGGCGCGCTGCACCTCCAGCTTGCCCGCCAGGCCGGGCGCATCTCGGGCTGCAGGGCTCCTCGGTGGCGCCGGGACCCCTGTCTCCTGCCATGGGCACCGCCCGAACCTCCGACCCGGGTCTGCAGCGGCGCCCGCCCCGCCCCGCCGCCGGGGGTTGCCTGGCGGGCGACGACCTCGCGAAACTTGGCGGCAGTGCGGGCGGGCGGCCGTGAGGCAGCAGATTCGTCCCCAGCCCCCTCCATCCCTGGTGTCGCCCGCGTGGACCCCGCAGGCCCCGCCTGCCCGAGCCGCTGCCACGCAGGCCTGGCCCCACCCTGCGAAGGTCAGGCCAGGGGACTCACGCGGGGCGCCCGCAACGACCCGGAGCACGGCGGGCCCTGGCCCTGAGGGGCAGACCGGGCAGAGAAACCGCACCCTCCCGAGAGAGCCGGGGTGGGGGGGCGGCTGATGGGACGGCGGGAGGAGAACCGGAGTGCGGGGAGCGCCCCGCATGCCGTCGGCCTCTTCTCGGTCACTCGCGAATGTAAACAATGAATCCTTCATTTACGGGCGGCAGTCACCTGGTTTGGCATTGCCAGGAGCCGGTGGGGCCTCAGAACCCCAGAACTGGACAGCCGGGTGCCAGGAGGACTAGTCCAGCGCGCGCGACTGCGGGGTGCAGGAGGCCCAGGACCCCGGGGCAGATGCTCCCGGCCAGGATAAGCGGCGGGGCTTTGGCCCAGGACGCACGTGGGCGAGGCCCAAGGGTCAGGCGGCCAGCGGGGCGTTTAGGTGATTGGGATGCAGGGTTTGGAGCGAGGGGACCCCGAGGAGGGAAGGAATTGCAGCCATAGGGTACCTTCGTGCGCACCGTGGACGCCCACAAGCACAGGGTGCGCGAGTGTCTGCGTGCCTGGCCCGGCAGTGATATTGGGGTGCAGCTTCGCGGCTGGAGAGCGCGGAACGGGAGCAGCACTTAGTGCCCAGCGGGCTTCAGCGGAGTCTGCACCCCGACTCCACAGTCTGCTGGGGCGCCCCTTCCTAGCTCTGTGTGTACTTCGGGGGGGGGGGTTCAGCGTTGGACGCCGGTGCCCAGCATCCTGGGTTCAAATTCCTCCTCTGCCACTCTTAGCCCTGTGGCTTTGGCCACCACGCTGCGTTTCTCTGCCTTGATTTCCCCTTCTGTAAAACAGAAGCTTGCGGTTGCGGAGGGACTTGCACACCCGTGGCAGCGCGTGTGCCGCTGCTGCGCGAGGGACCCTGCAGCTGGCTGCTCACGCCCAGGTTGGCAAGAGGCTCAGCCCCAGGCCCCCCAGGCCTCCTCTGGCCCTGCCACCCGGACACTCGATGCCAACTGTTCTGTTCTGCCCGGCATCCGACGCGGGAGCTGCCCCTGTGCCCCCCACCCAGTGGGCCCCGGAACGCATCGCCTTTGCGCGCCCGGGAGATGCTTGCTTGTGCGGCGGCTCTCGGACGCTCTGTGCTCGCGCCATCTGCAGGTAACCGGTCTCAGTGCCGGTGCGGGCCGGGCCGGACCGGGCCGGAACGACGCAAGGCAGAGGTCGCCCTTTGCCTACGCGCGGTAGCTGAGCTGTGCTGATTTGAGCGCCCGCGAGGTGGGGGGAGGCCCCGCCCCCGGCACCGTGCTCTGCTGGGGTCGCCCCGCAGCCACCCACCTCACACACCTCCACCTGTGTGCTCAAGTTCAAAGTCCGATCATGCTGCCTTCCGATATACTCTGCACTACACGCGCGCACACACACACACACACACACACGGATTCCGGATTCCGGATTCTGGCTTGCGGAGATGCCGGTGTCGGGCGCTCGCCGTGCTCCTCGCATGAACCGAGCTTCTGCCTGTTAGCTTAAGGGAAAGGGACTTCAGTGTAGGGAGCTGGGGACTTGTGTCCGACAGTCACAGCCGCCTGTCCCGGGCGACGGAGCTGGCGGGCAGCCCCTCCTCCACCGCTTCCTCTCTGGCTCTGGTTTCATTTTCTCGGTCTTTCCTGTCGGCCTGGGCATCTGTTCTGTCTGGGACTTGCCTGACTTGTGAGTGTGGCCTCCAGTGATGAATGCGTCCACGGGTCTCCATCGGTGTCAGACTCAGGGTGCCGGGGAAAGGCAGGCCGCTTCCTCTCTGGGCTGGGCACAGCTGGTGGGAGGGGGCTTCTTGTTGGGGTGTTGGGGGCTGAGTTAGGAGCGGGACAGGGGCTGGAATCGCTGTCTGCGGGAGCTCACAGCCACCCCTGGAGCCTAGCTTTGGGGGCACTCTGGGCCGTTGGGGAGGTGGGTGGCTTGAGCCGTCTGAGCCCCGGCTCTGGTTGCCTCCTAGGAAAGGCAGCAGGGTCCTGACTCACCATGCAGTTCAGGCTGGCCTTGAACTCACAGCCATCTTCCTAGCTCAGCCTCTCAAGTGCTGGGATTGCAGTTGTGTGCCCCATCCCCCAAAGCTAGGGCTACAGCCTGCTGGGAACAGTTGGGCAGGACCTTTCTATGTGGAGGCTGTGGGGTGCAGGCAGACAAGACCTGCAGGTGGGAGGTCACAGTCAGAGGGAGGAGGCACTGAGGGAGAAAAGCAAGAAGGTTGGGGCAGGGCAGCGGTGCACACCTTTAATCCCAGATCTCTGGGTGGCTGAGGCAGGAGTATCACAAGTGCAGGAGACAGCCTCACAAGTGTGTATCTCAAGATGAACTATTGAGGCTAGGGATGTAGCTCAGTGCGCAGGCTCTGGGTTCAATCCCCAGTACCGCCATAAGAGCAGCTTGGGCAACAGGGAGCAGAGTATGGGCTGGGGCCTCAGTGTCCCAAGCTGAATGTGAACACAGGTGGCCTGTGCGCCATCCTGCCCAGGCTGTTCCTGCCCGACAGGCTGTAGATCCGTCTGTTCCCTTTATTCTTCCACCGGAAGGGCAAGTGAAGCATCGGAGAGGGTCTCCTGTGTTCTCTGTCTGCTTCCAGAAAAGACTCAAGGTGATTTACTAAGAAAAACACTGTAATGAGATTAAAAATAAGGAAGAAAATTGGAGCCAGGGGACAACGAGAGTGGCTGGCATTAAAGGAAGCTGGAGGGGCCTTCTGGTTCAGGATACACGCTTCATGGCGGCCACATGTCCTGGGTTCGAATCCTGGCTACGCTGTAGGTTAGTGGTGTGACCCAGAACAAGCAGCTTGATGGCTATTGGTAAAGTGGGGGTCATAATACCTTTGCAGGGTTGTTATGAAGATTAGATGAGTTAGTGGGTTTTTTTTGTTTTTCTTTTGAACTGGGAATCAAACTCAGGACCTTGTTTGTACCAGACAGGTGCTGCACAGCTAAGCTATCTCATCAGCACATGAATTAGTACTTATAATTGAGTCTGCATCCCCGACTCCACATACACCCGTGTGGATTCTGGGTCCCCCACAGTGAAGGAACAAGCACTGTCCTGTAATCGTGCGCTGGGCATCGCAGAGAGCAGAGATTGGTGTGGACACTGCTGGCCCTCCCAGAGGTCACCAGCGCTGGCTAGGCCTTCACGTGCCCAGCAGGTTCCAGATCCAGTTTTTGGTTTTGGTAGCACTGGGGATTCAACCTAGGGCGTGTTGAGCTGCATCCCAGGTCTTTTGGTTTTTATTTTGAAAAAGGGTCTTGCCCTGTTGTGCAGGCTGCCCTTGAACTTGTGATCCTCTTGCCTTAGCCTGCCTGCGTGCTAGGATTACAAGCAAGGATCACCATGCCGAGGGCTGTGTGTGTGTGTGTGTGTGTGTGTGTGCGCGCGCGTGCACGCACGTGCGTGGTGTTGTCAGAGATCAAGCTTAGGACCCCACCCCAGCCTTTTTATTAGGCTGTGTTAGTGGGACATGGTCACAATGCCAGCAGTTTAAGAGGCCAAGGCAGGAAGATGGCAAATTTGAGTTCAGCCCAGACAATCTGTTTTGTTTTGAAACAGTAGTTGTCTCAGTTACTCTTCTCTCGTTGCTGGGACAAAATACCCAGTACGCAAAATTAAGAAAGGAAAGGTTTATTTAGTTAACAGTTAGAGGAGGTTTCAGTCCATACTCAGCTGGCTCCAAGGTAGAGCCAGCCAACAGCGGGTCATGGTGAAAGAAAACAGCGGAGAGCAGAAGGGAGGAGCAGCGGCTGCTGCGGCTAACCTGCCTCTGTCCCCTCCTTACACTGTAATGCAGCTTACCCACCTCGGGGCGGGGGTAGCACTCACACCCATTATCCCAATATTGGGTCATGGATTAATCACCAACTCTACAAGCTGCCCCATGACTGCGTGAGGCTTGGGGGGGGGGCAAGTAGGCACAAACTATAACAGCAGTGCAGGTTGGCCTTGAATTTGCTATGTAGCCCAAGAGGGCCGCTAACTCACAGTGTACCTTCTGCCTCAGCCTCCTGAGTCTTACCAGGTGTTTTTGTTTTACTAACTTTTTATTTTATGTTTTGTACCATGGGGATCAAACTCAGGACCTTGCACTTGCCAGGCAGGCGCTCACACCACAGAGCTATCTCCCTAGTCCTGACTGCTTTATATTTGATTTGACCTAGGGTTGTGGTGAGTCATCCCGGCTGATCTTGAACTTGCAGTGCTACCTCAGCTTCTAGAGTACTCAGGCTTATCGCTGAGATTTACATTAAGTGGATGGTAGCATACGCAGTTACATTCTACATCTTTTTATTCATTTTTTAAAATGTATTTGGTGGGCTGGTGAGATGGCTCAGTGGTCTAAAGCACCTACTTAGAACAAGCTTAACAAAGCACAGGGACCGCGGTTCAAGCCCCCAGCACCACATGCCAGCCAGCCCCGCCCCCTGGTGGGCTGAGCTGGCCACACACACATAAATAAAATAAATTTAAAAAAATAAAAAATAAAATGTATTTGGTGCAGGGTCTCACTACACAGCTCGGAC